GAAGGGAGGTCAGATTCCCTATTTACATAGTTTGATGTGAAAATCTATTTGGCTTGCTGATGTTGACGAGTAGCATCAAAAGGAAATGTGGGAAAAAGAGGGATACAATAAATGTGGTTAAATCCACCGCTCCTTGAAGGTAACCTTATACACAATGTTGTGTTTGATCTCTCTAAAAAGAGCTATCAAATGTACAAGTGCAGGTGTTGAACAAAGGCTTAACATTTGTGCCTACAAACACAACTCTTGTTCTGTAAAAACATGCACAACATCCAAAGTTTGTTTCAGGCTCAAATGCAGCTTCAGTTGTCCCACTATTCGAACTTGGTATATTTCATAGTTGCAGTGTATTTAAAACACATTTCCCTTTTTTATTTACCTGGACAGTACCTTGCTGTGCTTCAGTGGGGGGGGTAGGTCTTAGTAGTCACATGCAAGTTTTAGCCAGTGTTTATTACTGGATATGTACTCAGAGTCAATTCGGAAACAAGTTCGTACCTGGAAGATTGGACAGCTGTAGTACTTTTGAGGTTTTACAAATATGTGACTCAGATTTCACCGGAGAGATCCTGAAATGGTCAAAATGGACATAAGGATGCTATTTGCAAAGCTGAGAGTTACATGAATTGCTGTGAGGGAAACAGCGGTGCCATAACCAGTCAAGCTAACAGCAGCTGACAAAGGAGTACATGAAAATAAATACATAATGTGTCGTTATTTATTAATCAGCCGAACTAAAGATACCTGTGTGTAATGTTCCTAAAAGGCCACGGTGATGATGGTAAGCAGTTCACCTACAGTGTAATGGTGTTACTGATTGAAACTAATGTTAGTCTATGCTATTATACTGTATCTCTCAGAGAGATTGCAATATTGATTATACATCTACATTAGTAAAAAGCCAGTTGCAAGTAGTAACTCCACTGCAGCTCAACAAGGTAGTGGTACTGTCCAGGGACATAATGGAGAGAAATTTGTTTTAAATGGACTGGGTTCAGCGTTCAGATCTAAATTATAACGGTTGTGCTAAATCGTCTGTCTGAAGACACAAACATATTGACAGTCGCCTCTTCATCAGGCTAGGTTACAACAGGTCAGCCAAGTTCAGTACCTTTAGCCAAACTTTGTGTAAATGGGTTAATCTTTTAATGGTAATTGTCTAATTTTGTAAAATTGCATTGTTCATTTTGTTTGTGCACAATGGCTGCAGTGTTTTTAGTGTAGTTTACATGAAAAGTGACTGCACATTAGCTTGTTCTGTATATTAATTATAAAAAAATAAAATGAATTCAATTTAAATGACATTATATATGCTATGTCTTATCATTCAAAAATGAAAATTAAATTGACAGGTAATATAAAATTATGGCCGTCAAGATGACAGACAATGGAAAAAGTTTATCTTGACCTCTGTATATAATATAGAAAGTGATGATGAGTTCCCTAAATTTTATTACTGGCTTCATAGTAATACTGGTACTAATAATAGTATTATTACTTTTTTGTTTTTGCAAAAGAATCATTTGCCACAGTAACCTAACTTGGCTTGTAAGAAATAGCTGGCTTTTCTTTCTTTGTTGTCGTTTTTCTTTTTCTGTGCATAAGATACAAATCTTTATTATTTAATGGCCATCCATATGATCTTTTTTATATAGTAACATAGTTAAATCAGTGTTGTGACACTGTGGATGATAATACAAGACTGTATTATTATTATTTTGGTCCTGTAAGAGCTGAAGAGTAGTTCACTCTTAGAAAACTACTGACAACATTTGTACTCCTCTTAAAGCTCTTAGGTGACCTCTGTGCTTGAAGTAACCGGAGTTTGGGTTCGCTATCAGTCTCTGGGATCTGCACTGTGGACTTAGCATAATGACGTTTGGTGATTTTTATCTAGAGAATTGCTCTCATACAGCTTGTTCTTGAGATAGCCTCTTCAATTTTCAGTATTCAATATACTGCTTTTTGCTTCATTGTAGGCACCATGAATGGTCTCTCTTTTGGCCAAGGAGATATGAGAGATTATGCAAGAGTGTTTCAGTGAGTCAGCTATTGTTCTTATTAGCTTGTGTAGCTGCTTTACAACCACCCAGTTTAGTAACACTTACCTGTTCAAAAGGTTACTGTTTAAAGTAAATATTTGCACTATAGTTGCAAAGTCTTTTTTCACTCACGTGCTGGTTGCTGTTTGACGTTAGCATCACACCAACCGGATCTGCTGTTGACAGAAGTCGTGCCAGCCCTGGTGCAAGCTGATGTTGACAAAATACTGCAGCTCCCTGCCAGGACTGCTGGTTTCCTGGCTTTCTGTTTGCTCTGTGCCTGATTCTGTCCTACTTGCTGCAGCCCTCTGCAGTGGTACAAGGTTCATTTCACTTTCTGTGGCCTTAGGGTGAGGCTTTAGAAAGGTTATGAATGAATGATTACTGGGTTTTAATGTTATTTCTTCATGTATGGGCGGCCGACACAATGCTTCAGATATTCATTAGGTATATTCTTTGCTGTTGGATATTGTGCTTCAGGCAAACAACAATTTCAAGTATGCATCTGTCCATTGTCTATACCTGTTCATTCTTTGAAAGGTCTCAAATTGTCTGATATTGAGCTGTCATGGGCAGCAAATGATGAAGTATTTACATGTAACTTTGGTTTCACTTTAATAGGATTACTTTCTAACATCTATACTGTCTCATTCTGTTTGCTTATTGTATTCAGAGAAGATGTTGTATGACCAACAGACCAAACACTGTCTATAATGTCTGTAACCTGCATTATTTTTGGAAAATGCAGAGAAAGTCTGATATGGAAAGTCATAACTGTTATTGTTTTCAGTTCATTAATGGAACCTGTTGTACAGCTAGCTGTTTGCTATCAAAGAGGCTCAGTGACAGTACCTTATTTTATTGTACTGATCTCTTTCAACCCATGGAAATGTCTATCTTGCTGGTTGGGTTATCCCTGGCTATAACCACTCCCAACAGATCTCTGAGGCAGGGAGCACAACAAGAAATCAAACATAAGTGTGAGTGATTTTGTGTGTCTGTATGTGTATGTCTCTGTCTCTAGTGACTGTGGTTCAGAGTCCTGCACGCCACTCCCAGCAGACTTCTTTGCTGACTCATTCATATCATACACTCCTCCCCCAGCTGCAGAGCATCGCGCTTTAACTGGTTGATTAATCCCCACCCGCTCTAACTATTAGTCAATAGTGTGTCTGCACCAGCCCTGATTTGCACCCTGTGCGTGCCTGCCTGACACAACTACAGCTTGACATCTACTGACAACATATTGTTAAAAGAACATAACATTAGACTGTGCAGGCGAGATCTTTTCTCAGCTTTTTAAAGTCAGTGGTCCCTAAGGAGGGTGTTAGGTCACATCAAGTCCCAGCATGCATCAGCTCCGGTATGTTGTTATCAGATGATTTATCACAGTGTACCAAGGGGGCTGGCTAAGTCACATGTCCTTAAGTGTCATAACAAATTCCCTACCAGCTGACTGTGATTTATTTTCAGCTCTTCTCATAATTTTTATGTGACAGTTTGCAGCTCTGTTATGTGAATATAATTTATTTTTATGTAGATGCCACTGTACTACTTGCAATGCATATGGCACCACTGATAAATGAACATTTGTATTCTACACATTTGTGTTATTTTCTTGGTCTTACATACAGAAATAGTGTGGATATTTTATTTGTAGTATACTCCGAGTTCGAAGGTCCAGCTTGAACCCATAGAGGGTTACAGGTTTTTCTGTCATGCACCATTTTGGTCCTGTGACCAAATAATCCAAGCTACAGAAGTAATGCAGTACAACTCTTGGTGTTCCCTCTTTAGGTTCAGTGATTTTTGTTAATACCTGAATAGTTTAGAGCAGGTCGGGGCTCAGGAATGTGGTGCAGTCATCTCAGAACTAAAAGGAAATCTCATCTCTGATGACCTGAAGCCAGAGCGTGATACCCACAAGTGCCCGCATTTCCATAGTTTGCTGTGGAGAGTGGATGACTGGCCTGCTCTCTGTTTGTGTATTGTCATTGTGTGTCTGTGCTTCTGTTTTGGCTCCCTGGGTGAAAGCCCACATGCTCTGTTGTTTTTTCTGGGGCAGAATTTAGCACAAAACATCCAGGTTTGGTCTAAATGCTGGTGAACATGTCTCCTTTATTTAGTTTAGGATGATATTTCATTTTGATCAGTTTTGCTATATTTTCATCTTTTGTATTGGGAGGTTCTTCTCTGTGCAGATGAATGCTGCCATTAAGCAGCCTGCAGGGCCCCAAGTGGGGCTAAGCTGAAAGACAGGCCTGTGCTGTTACATAAGTCAGTCTTTGTCTTATCATTGTACCGCTGTGAGGATCCAGATCCTGGCCAGCAGTGGAAATGGTCTCAATAAAACGACAGCAAACAAGCACTGTAACACATCCAACTACTGTTTAACAGGCAGATATTGACTCATTTAAAAGACTAACCTGAAAAACAGCTGTAATTATGAGATGTTTCTCGTAAGTAATCTGAGATCTTATCAAAGTAGTAGTTACTGAGCAGTTACTGTTTTGAAACCTGAAAATGGGTTTGTGTGGCCTCATCAGAACAGTCGGAACAGTTTGGCGTGGCAGCCCCCTTCCTTCCTGTTTGTACACTAATTTGCTGCCTCGCTGTCTGTAGTATATACCACTCAGTCATATTCTTATCCAGAAAACAAAACTGAACCCTAAAATGACATCAGGCCATACACTGGACACCAGTTTCCCAAATCTGCGGAATGGTGTGTCATGGTGTGACGAATCCCTTTTTTTTTTTTTTTTTACATATTTGATTTTATAGTTTATCTACAATATATGCCAACATAGAAATGGTAAAACACGGAAAGAAGAATGTTACTGTGTTGCCTTGGTTTTTAAAAAACCTTAGGGAGTTTAGTAGTAGAAACAAATGGACAACAATCAGTATAAATAACGAAGACTGACCTTTGTATGTATTCCTCTCTGTGTCTCTCTGCAGTGGAGGGTGAAGGTCAAGGTCGCATTCTTCAGCGGTTTCCTGAGAAAGAATGGGAGGACAGCTCATTCCCACAAGGCATAGAGCTGGTAGGTCAACACATACAGACATGTTCTTGTATAGCTCAGTAGCAAGATGGTTAACCCTGTCATGGCTAAGGGCAGAGACACACCAAGCCGATGACGGAATAAAGTAGCACGATTCCCGCCTTGAAAAGTCAGTATGGAAGGGCCTAGAGTGTTTAATTAAAGCTGCATTAACTAGTTGTGTCAATGGCATAAATGTTAAGTGTTTTATTTGCTATGGATGTGTTCAGTAAAGACATGAAAGATCATGACCTTTTGCATTTTATCATCTTAGAAATATTGTTTGATATCTGTGACTTTGGTGAAGCTCAAATCACATTTCATGACCAATTCATGCAAAAAAAAAACAAAAACAGGACATTCTAAACAGTGCCATTACTTTTTTACTTGTTAAGTCAAAACAATAATATTGAGTCTATTGTTATCTCACCTCAGTGAGGCATCTCACTGGCAGTACTCATTGACACATTAAAAATAGTCAATTTGAAAATTATGTAACTTTTAAAAATCAACTATAATATTTAAAATGAGAGCAAAGTATACTTTAACATCTACTGTATTCACACCATGCAGTCAGAGCCTTTGGCGGCTTTGTCATTATCTTTTTATTAAAGCCGACAATCTCTTGAGAACTTGTTTTGGTGCATTAATGGTAGCCCAGCCCAGGGTTAATCACCCTGAGGTGCAGTAAGCACATGTGACCCACTACTGTCTGTCAGCTGGGTTGCCAGGTTGGTATGTGCACTAATTGTTTTCTCTTTTCCTTTTTTCATCCTTTCTTCCCATCTCCATCTGATTCCATTCCTGTTTTACCTCTGGCCCCGATGTTGCCTTCACCTTTTCACCTTCTCACCCTTCTCCCTCTCTAGTTCTGTCAGCCCAGTGGTTGGCAGCTGGTGCGTGAGTGGCAGCCCGCCTCCTTCGTTGTAGCAGTTTTGACTGACATCAACTCGGACCGTCATTACTGTGCCTGCTTCACTTTCTGGGAGGGCCTGGACAACCCACAGGTGAGATACACATCATTTAAGTGATGTCTCAGGGATCTGTGCCCTGTCCTTCCAGTCGGAGTTGTTAGTGCATTAACAGTGACATGAGCTGTGGGCTGTGTGGATAATTTAGTATAGGATTCACGTGACACTTGACACAGGCTCTGTAAATAGTCTTTTTTTTTTCCATACACACCCACTACTAGAGAAGTGGAGACTGAATAATACATCTATTTAATGCATTCTTTAATACTTTCCATCTGTCATTATTGCCAATTTGCTTTGTTGGAACACATGTCCATGAGGAACCTGCATCTCTATGGTGATTGAGTATTTTTGCTGCTGCATCAATCACACATTCACTTTTTTGTGTTTTTAATTGGACATCCTGTTTGAAATAGTGAATATTTGAAGTATTTATCTCAGCCTGGAGTGCTCTGTGTTCAACTGCAGAAGGCTGAGGCCAGTGAGGTGGATGAGGAGCCGGGTGTTGTTCAATCAGCTAAAGTCTTTGCCCCCAAGAGCCTGGTGCTGGTGTCCCGACTGGACTACACTGAGGTGTTCAGGGTATGCCACACACAGTAATTTCTAGTACTCCAGTAATTTCTAATACATCAGTATAGCTTTGTACAGTTTTGGTTGACCCCTTGACTAGTGCATTTTTCCTGCTTTGCTGAACAGAACTGTCTGGGTCTGATCTACACCATCCATGTAGATGGCCTGACTGTTCCCTTGGAAACAGTGATCGGAAATCTCCTCACCTGTATCATTCCCATCGCTGGAGGCTCCCAGGTAGAACTGCTTGACTATTCATCCCTCTTTTTCCACATATGGGCAACTGTACTAACTACAATACCCTCCAAAGGCAAAAGTCACTGTCATATAAACCTTGAATAACACTCCAAGGATTAACATAAAACTGTGGCACCATTCCTAAGTCTTATTTTTGTGCTTTCCAGCCTTGCTAGGTGATATACACTCCTTGTGTCACCCTCTGCCTTACTCAGGGAGTTCATGAGGGAGTTCAGAGCTTGGAGCCTGCTAGCATAGCGCCCTGTTTAACATGGTCTTCTAAGCCTGAATTTGTGTTAGCTCAGCACAACAGGAGAATATTAGCTGTGGTTGGAGAGGTTCGACAGCCTATTTCTTCATGTGTATATGTATGCAAGAGAGTTTACCCAGTGCCTTTTTGTGTGGAGTTTGCATGTTCTCTTTGTGCGTTTGGGTTCTCTCCGGGTACTACGGCTTCTTCCCACAGTCCAAAGACATGCAGCTTAGGTTGATCGGTGACTGTAAACCTGTAGGAGTGAGTGTGGGTGTGTGTGGATTTCTGTCCCTATGTGACAACCCTGTGATAGACTGGCGACCTGTCCAGGGTGTACCCCTGCCTCTCACCCAGTGTCAGCTAGGATTGGCTCCAGCCACCACCCCCGTGACCCTCTTTAGGATAAGTGGTATAGATAATGGATGGATAGTTTCAGTAATTAGCTTTAAAATGATATTAATCTTCTTCACAGAACTGGTTTTATAGCAGATCTCTATCCCTTAGGAGCAGTGTCATGGACAGCTCAGGCAGCCATCCTGGAAACACAAGTATAGACATTAGTGTTATTTATTTCATTTCATTGCTATGAGTTTACTGGGAGACATTAGATTTGTGAAACCCTTCCCCTCCAGAGGTCACAATAGACTTTCTTGTTGTCTGTCACTTTGATGATAATTTATTACCTGTCAGTTTAATTTCACTAGTTAATTATAAGCCATATTTCATAGCACCTAATTTTCAGTTAATTTTTTAATAATTAATATATGGAACAAGCTTATGTGTGGCCAACTTTTCATGTCAACACCACAGATGATATTTTTTTCCACAGTGTAACGGAGGACACTGAAGACACTGCAGCCATTGTGCGTAAACAAGCAAATATGAACAGTGCAATTTTACAAAATTAGACAATTACCATTAAAAAATGAACAACCCAGTTACATGAAGTTATGTAAATGAATTGAACTCAGCTGACCTGCTGCAGCTTAGCTTGCTGCAGAGGCAACTGTCATTAGGTTTTTCACAACCAGGGTGCTCTGCTGATGCCCTGGAGACTGGACTTGGCAAGTTTTGAGTTTGGGGAATATTTCTCTCTGGAAGTGATTAGAGGTTGCTCTGAACTTGGGATTTCCCAGTCCTGAAGCACTCACTTCACCGGGAGGAGTCCGCTGCATGTGCTCCTATTGCTCCAGAGCCGCAGCTGCATGTGACTCATAGTGGTCACAGACATGCGTCGTAGCCCTCGCTATGTAAATTTTCAACAATGATGGAAAAGTTTGGGTTAACGAAACCTCTGATCACCTCCTTTGTGGATGATCGGTGCCACTTTGCACATATAGACCAAATCCTTAAATTTTACAAGTAGTGTTTGCCATCAAGTCCTTACATTTGTAACCAGATAAGCAAACTAAGCATGTTTGCATTTTCTTTTATTCAACATACCATATCTGAGGTACACGTTTTGGCACCATTGCTTGAATCCAGGCCTCTGCTTTTCTGGGGTCGTATATGTACATGTGGAACTCATCACGTTAAAAATCTCCACTAACATGAGTCAACACTATGCCACAAATTAGAAGAGTCATTTTTTGCATTTTGTCACGCATATGCATGTGTACGCGGACATCACCAGCAGGTGTTACTTGACACCACATCGAGCTAATGTAAACAAATTATTTCTCATGACATATTCTGAATTTTTCTAGTTGTTTCTCCCTCTTTTATTTTTAAACAATTTTCTCTTTACCCTTGTTTTTCATATATTTTGTAAGATTCATGATTTGTTATTTCTACTCCTTTATGTTTTTAATACATTTTTCTGTGTAAGTAAATTAAACATCCCTGTTATACTGGCTGTCATGCTGATGGTGCACAAACAGAAGGAAGTCTCTCTCTTTTTTTTAAAATTTGCATCAGTTGAGCTCTACCGCTGTGTTTTCCAGATGTTGTAACCCATGTGTGTCCTTTATGTACATCCTACTGTACACTGGTTCCTCTTTGTTACAGATAGATGAGACTCCAGTTTGTAGTTTAGACAAGGTCCCTCAGGCCTGTGACTGGCTGCGGGCCTGTCTCCAGGTAACTTTCCCATTCTGCAAGCTTCGCCAATCAACAACCAGCTTGATCTTATTGATTCTGTTAATCAAACAGACCAGAGTTGTTTTTCTTTTTTTTTTTTTTAGGAATGTGTTTCTTCCTCCAGTCATTTCAAATCATTTGTGATTGATGGTGCTTCAGCTGTTACTGCTTTTTTCTGTTTTGTGATCAGATAGTTTTCTTCTCTTGTGTTTGTCATCAACTTGATTTGGTGCAGCTATTAAGCATTTTAAAATACTGATTATATTCACGTTTTTTTTCACTCTCTAAAAGACACACACATACTGTATTTGTACTTCTGTCTTTGTGAGGACACTAGATAACAATGTATTCCCAAGCCTGTTACCTTAACGTTAACCATCACAACTATAAATGCTTAACCATAACCCTAATACCTAACCTGAACCCTAAAACCAAGTCTTAACCCTCAAAAACATGTTTCAGCAAGTGAGAACTGGCCAAAATGCCCTCACTCTGTAGCAAAAAAATGCTTTTTTTTTGTTCATTGTTATATAGAAAGTACAAGAAAACGCACACTCCTGTGGCTGGGAAGGTTGGAGTGCAGTTGCTGGGTGAGCATATGGGACAGCAGATGGCTTCCTAATGGACAGCACAGCATCTGAATGAGAGAATCAGTTCTAACCAGTATTAACACACATATAAACCCAAGCAGCAGAGACTAATGCACAGCTCTGCTCATGCACTAACACACATTCATCAATGCACAGGCCAACACTGAGCAGGTGTTTAGATTGAGTCCGGTAAAAGGGGCTGCATTAGTGGGTGGGTGGGGGGTTGACGCGAATGGCTCCATTCACGTTTCCAGCACGTGAGCTTCTCTTGTGTTTTGGTTAGCCATGGTGCTAATGTAGCCTACTCTACCTTAGCACCACCACTGTGTCACCATTGATAGATAAAAAGCACAATTTAATATCCAGTACCCTAACTAATGAAAACACATGGCAGGTCATTATTGTATGTTGACTGTGGCCCAGATTTAAAAGTGAATAGCAGTGAATGCTCATGCTAACAAGGTTAACAAGAGTCCTCCTCCCATGGGCGTCCACGTCCCAGTCATCCCCCATACATCAACATTTGTCAACACCGCACTTTTGCGAGATTTTATCACTCTCCGGTGCGGTGAAAGTTGAACCACATCTGACTTTCTAACTGCACTGGGCTGTGTGGTTTTTCACAAGCCTCCTGGGTTGCTGGTGTCAGCTGCAGAGAACGCAATCCCCCATAGAAATGAATGGGAGGGATGTTTGAAAAATAGTTAAAGCTTTTATTCACATAGTGAGGATTAAAAGCAATAAATGTGGCCCTTTTTAATCCTCACCATGAGAGCCATCTGAATAAAGGCCTTTTAATTGTTTTTCAGAAGTTTGCCTTGGATTCATTTCTTTTCAAGTACTGTATTTCACCCTGACAAAGTTTATAATCAAAATGACCCAACAAACATTTGTTAGCCACATAAACTTATACCGTCATGGTAAAAAGAAATTACACCCTCCTTCAAGTCTCTATTTTTATTCATCAAGGGCTAAAAACAATTGTGTGAACCTCACAAACTCTGCAAACAACCAACCAACCTCAGATGACGACAACAAACAAGCGCAACAGATATTAATAGGTGGTTACTATTTCCCTGAAGTAAACCAACCTTCAGAAACCAGATAGGAAAATATACACCCTATAATTCAGTAACATGTAGAGCCGCCTTTAGCAACAATAACTTGAGGGAAACATTTCTTGTACGAGTTTATCACTCTTTCACAATGTTTTTGAGAATTTCTGGCTCACTCTTCTCTACAACATTGCTTCAGTTCATTGATGTTTGAGGGTATTCATTTTGTGCACAGCTCTCAAGATCCCACCACAGCGTCTGTGGGGTTAAGTGCCACATTTCCATGCTCTGGTAGTGGGGCAGGCTGTTGTATCAATGTCTGTTGAGTGACTAAAAGGTGTTTGAACTCCTTTAAAAGGTCCAGTTAATGACAGCACTGCTGTGCAGCTTGTGAAGTACAGTGACTGATGTGTGTGACTGAGACAAGCTGTGCAGCAGGATGTTACAACAATCCAGTTATTTATCTAAACACGTTGCACTGCTCTAATGTGAAGTGGACTTCAGGCTGTTGGCCTGATGTGAGAAATGATGAATTACAGAAGTGGAACCTTGTGGTTAGCAAGGCCATCCCTAACACAGCAAAGTGACAGTCTACTAGGTTTTCATACATCATTTGTGTGTTTTAAGTCCCCTTAAACAACATATTCAATCCACACAATCTGTACGTGACCCTGACCTCTGACCTGGGTTCGTGTGAGTACGTGTGGGCTCCTGGCTGGTTTCCCCATAGTGGGGCATGACTTCTGTTTACTATGGAAGACAGTCAAATGTTTGCTTTTGTTAGTGATTGAGCTGTTACAGGAATTTGCTTATTTGTCTCTAAAAATAATTGTCACAGTGGGAATTTCAGTCCCAGTTTTTGGTCGTTACTCGTCACATTGCCATGTGCTCTGAATTAGACATTTAGGCCACCACTGAGCGATAACCCACTTTAAACTGGAAGTTGCACAAGTTGTTCTGTCAGTGCTACTTTCTGTCATTTGATCACAAAAGGTGAAATATAAACTGTGAACCTCAGTTCCTCCCTTAGCCTATCATCACTGTCATTGTGTTTGAGGTTGGAAGGGGATTTCATTGTGGGAATTCTCCTGTTTCCAGTATCCCTTTAAGTACCTGTTATTGCTTAAAACAGTAAAGCCATACTGCTGTCAGATATTTTCAGTTTTGTAATTAAAAAATATTTCCTCTTTTGAGATTCCCTCATTAGACCAGTGTTACTGTTACGGTGTGATTTCAGAACCATGCCAGGATGTAGGACTTGATCTAACTCATTTGATGGTTTCTGATGGATCCCCATTTTGAGTTTGTCCTAAGATTAAAAACACGAAATGTGTTCAGTGAAGCTCCCCCTCTGTAGGGTGTCTATGCCATACTGTGGACCACTAGAAAAAAATAGTCATCTAGAAACCCTCGTCCCATACTGTTACTGTAATTATATTATAGGTATTATTTATGACAAATAAACATTATTTGCACTGTTGTGTTTATTTTGAGTTGGGAGTGAAATAACACAATGAATCATCTCTTATTGCTCTGCCACATAATGGCTTTACTTTGTTTTGCATGTGTTTGTCATATCTGTTGTTGCACTCATCCTATATTTTTACATGGCCCTCATCTTGCAGTTGATGTTTATATGTTATCATTCATGCAGCTTCATTGTTTTGCGATGCTGATGCATCACTGTCATATTGTTGCCAAGTTTGGTTGTTCTGTGCCCTCGCTCCTGTTGTTTCTAACATGTGTCTTATCTTGCGGGTTGGCGGTGTCTCTCTGCTGGGTGCTTGTGTAGCTCGGCCAAGAGGAGAGAGAAGAGAGATTGGTACGCCAGCCTGACTTAATTCTCCCCTCGCCACCTGTCAGATCTGACCTTTCCTAGCTTCCTTTTCTCCACCCGCCCCCCTCAGCCAGCCCACGCACACCTCCTTTGCCGGGAGAATCAATCAAAATGCTTTGATACAAACTCAATATGTGACCAACAACTGATCATATAGCTGCGCTTCTGATGCAAGCATGAGCTTCTCACCTTTTCCATAGATTCATGATACTGAAAATTTTGATCTTATGGCTGATTTGTTTCCTTAATATAATCAACTGCGTTTCTGTATTTCATAACTGTACAGCACAATGAGGTTTTATCACTTATAATTTCTGCTTTCCAAGAACAACATTGTGATGTCCCCTTTGTTCTCAGGGCCAAAGAATGTATTGTTCTAATATGCCTCTCATCTAGAAAGCCACAACTGTCATAATTAAATCCTCATGGCTGGAATGCTGCCAGCTACAGTTTTTAGTAGGCTACAACCTCTATTGAAATAGTAAACTAGCTAAAAGGTTGGCATAGGGAGTGCCAGCACAAATATCAGTAGTTAAGTTTTCAGGGGGACTGAAGGTAAAGTGTTGCCCAGAGATTGAAACTAACTAAAGGTTGACATTAAGTTTACTACTAGAGCAAGATTTTGAGGCCATAGCTTATCTTAGTCACTTAGTGATGAAGATCCTACAGCAGATCCATGAGGTTCTTAATACAAATTATTCAGACTGACAGCCTGTTAGAACTGAGTATTCAGTCATGTAAATAATGCTCCTCTGCACATCTGCCACTTACTATCTGATCTCAAATGGCAAGCACCAAATAAAACACACCAGATGATCAGATGTTTGATCACAGCATTGAATCGCTAACAGCTAATCTGTGGACGCTGATGCTGTCGCTGCTCTAGAGCATGAGATCATGCTGCTAACCCCCCACCCCCCACCACCACCACCACCACCTCCTTACATGAGTACTGCTGCTGAAAATTAAATTTTGTTTTCTCTTACCAACAGGAAACACAAATTTGATCACATTATGGGGACTGTTAAATAAAATTAGTTTGAAATGTTTTATATGTATCAGAAATCATGACTCCAAGATATGCTGTCAGCTGATCTTATCTCTGTAGATTCCCCTTTTGTGTTTCAGATTAAATGAATGATTATACTTGTATTGTTTACATTTATATTTTTACAGCCTAAATCATCTGTTTCCCCTCCTGGATGTTTGTTATCCAGACCACATAAAAAAAACAATATTTATTGGTTTTGACTTTTGTCTGGAGCACAGTACAGTAAGTACGGAAAGTTTCAGACCATTTCAAGTTTTCCACATTTTATGTTTCAGACTCTTTAAATGGAGTCAATTCATTTTTTCCCCCTCATCAATCTACACACAATGCTCCACAATGATAAAGTGAAAACAGGTTTTTGGAGTGTTTTGTAAATGTGTTAAAACTTAGAGACTGAAATATTCCATTTACATAAGTATTCAGACCCTGTGTTTTGACACTAGCAGTTGTGCTCTGGTGCATCCTACTCCTATCAATAGTCATTGAGCTGCTTCTACAGCTTTATTAGAGCCCACCTGTGCTTAATTTAATGTACTGGATATAATTAGTAAAGGCACACACCTGTCTATACAAGATCTCATAGTTGATGGTGTATGTTAGAGTGAAAACAAAGCCATGAGGTTGGGAGTACCTGCAAGACATGATTGTGTAAGACAGATATGGGGAATGATACAAGAACATTTCTGTACCATTGAAAGTGCCCAGGAGCACAGTAGCCTTCATCATTCTCAAATGGAAGAGATGTGGAACCACCGACAGTCCTCATAGATTTGGCCACCCAGCCAAACTGAGTAAGCAGGGTTCTTGGTCAGACCAACAACCAGGAACCTAAGGGGCACTATGAATGAGATCCAGAGTTCCTTTATGGAGATGGGACAGGCTTACAGAAGGATAAGCATCAGTGCAGCACTCCACCAATCAAGCCTCTATGGTATAGTGGCAAGACGGAGTCCATTCTTCATTAAAAAGCATATTACCAACCCACTGGGAGCTTGCCAAAGGCACCTGAACCACTCTCATACCATGAGAAGCAAAATCCTCTGGTCTGATGAAACAAAGATAGAACTATTTGGCCACAATTCCCAGCTGTGTGTGTGGAGAAAACCATGTACTGAGCATCACCTCAATAATGCCATCCCTACAGTCAAACACGGTGGTGGCAGCATCAGGCTGTGGGGATATTTTTGGGCAATTTGGGCATTCAAAAGCAATTTTGAATGAAAACCTTCTCCAGTGTGCTCAGGATGTCAGAATGGGGCAAAGTTTTACACGTCAACAAGACAACAATCAGAAGCATACCACTAGGAAAACACAGGAGTGGCTTCAGGAAAACACCGTGAAAGTCCTGGAGTGTTCCAGCCAGAGTCTGGACCGGTACCCAATAGATCATCACTGGAGAGACCTGAAAATGGCTGTGCACCAACACTCCCCATCCAACCTGGTTGACCTTGAACAATTCTTCCAAGGAGAATGGAAGAAAATTCCAAAAGAAAGGTGCCCTAAGCTTGTCGCTTCAGTCTCAACGAGTCTTGAGGCTGTCAGTGCTGCCAAAGGTGCTTTAACCAATTACTAAGTAAAGGGTCTGAATACTTACGTAAATTGGATATTTCAGTCTTTTATTTTTAATAAATTAATAAAACACTTCAGAACTTGTTTTAACCTTGTCATTATGAAGCATTGCGTGTAGATTGATGAAGAAAATTATGTGAATCAATTTAAAGATGAGTCTGAAGCAATAAAATGTGGAAAACCTGAAAGAGTCTGACACCTTTCTGTACTGACTGTAGATTTCCAGTCAGTTTATAATGGATACAGTGTCAATTCTAAGATCTTGAGTTTTATTCATTTAGTAAGCAGTTTGTGTGCAACATTACTGTTTAAGCCTTTTAACATATCGGATGTCATTTCCAAAAAGAGAGAAAATTTATCCTGGGACATGTTTCATGGACCTAAATAAATCACCCATACAGATCCATCCTAATCAGTCTCTTTCGCTTGTGCTTACATTACCTACTGTGGTAAATCGCCTGTGCATAACACCTGCCATGTCGCTGTCAGTGATACGGTGGTGCTGGTGTTGTATTGCAGTAAGGTTGTTTGCATGGAGTCCTGCCCAGCGCTCTTCACGTCCTGATCGACTGGAATGGCTTGTGTCCTATCTGTCATGTACCTGCTAAGCTTCTGGGAGCCTCCATCCCTCTCTGTTGTTGACTGACTCTGCTCTCTGGACACACACAGCTGCGATTAAACCAAGATGTCAAACCCTGATTTTCTGAGAAACACTCTTTGTTCTCTGAATCCCCCCTCCCCCCACGATCCTTATGTTCTCTTCTCTCGCTTAATCTGCAGAGGACTATAACATTTGGTGCTGGTGACCGGCAAATTATCCAGACTCCTATCAATGACTCACTTCCTGTCAGCGGCAGCAGTGTGGCCCAGCTCTTCAGACAGCTTGGTAAAAATGATTAGAATACAGGATTAGTACACTTGTCCCATTGCTAAATAGTGTGTTCATGTCTCAAAGAAAAGGTAAACGTTAATTGTGATGAATACAAAGACTTCATTCTTGTAGCAGTAATGAAGTACACTTGGCCACTTTATAGTCTACTGGTACACCTGTACAGTTTTATGCAATTGGCCACTGAGTGGAGTGTAGTTGAAAAACTAAAATGGGCTTTTTCACTTGTGGAATAGTGAGCAGGAGTATGAATACATGTACTCTATAGAAAAATGTTTTGTGCCCTAGAGCTTCCAGTGATGCCATGTCTGTGTTCTCCTCTCTTAGGTATAGTTAATGTGCTGTATCTGTTCTGTGCCGCCCTGACCGAACATAAGATCCTGTTCCTGTCCAGCAGCTACCAGAGACTAACAGATGCCTGCCGCGGACTGCTGGCCATCATGTTCCCCCTCAAATACAGGTGTCTTTACCTTCCTCATTCTCAGTATTGTGTCTTCTGATGATTCTCTAGGTGTTACTCTGACTAGTGGCAGTAAAGCATAAAAAAGCATGGGTATGGCTGACAACAGTCGATACGCTAAATCTCTCTCTGTTTGTGTTTCTCAGCTTCACTTATGTTCCCATTCTGCCGGGAAAACTACTAGAGGTCCTGAGCACTCCCACTCCCTTCATTATTGGTGTCAACTCATTTTTCCGCTCCGAAACACAAGAACTGGTGAGTTCTCATTAATACAGTATGATGGACCAGTGTGACAAGGCTTCATTAAGACAAGATCAACGCTATTCGTCTTTTGTGTAAAATGCTGAGACAGTGACTCTGAATGTGTATGAATTTGCGTTAATACGCATAGAAGCTCCAGATGTTTGTTTGTTTTTTTTTTAGTTTTGTTACTGTACTGGCGCACAGCAAAGTAGGTGTTCTCAAGCTGTGTGTTTCCATGTAGATTTTTAATGAAAGTTCCACTAGTTTGTTAAAGAATTTGTGATTACAATAACTTTCTGGGAGAAGTGGTGCATTATCTGAGAGAAATGCAGGAGAGCCAGTATTTTTGGCCATGACTAAGTGTCCAGAGCACTTGATCAAAGAAGATAATTTTGGTGCTACAGTATCTTATTAAAAGCTTCTGAGAATGTAATGAGTGCTCCTGTTAGCAGTGTGTGATTGTTTCCTTGTTTCACATACTAGTGAGATGCTGTGTTTGGTGCAGTATTCACACACTCATTATCAGTGTGTGAGCAGTCGTCGGCGTCAGGTGTCCAAGGTTAT